CCCCCCCCCCCTAACAGACTGATTACGTCATACTGACGTAAATACTTGCTACTTTCTTATCCGCATCAAATACAGTTTAACTTTGTATTATCATTAATGTGTAGTGGAACCCATATAAAAATGTGGAACAGGAAGACGACTTTAACATAGGATCTGTACGCATGGACCTTTCACCAAATAAGTTTATTTTCAACCTTTACTTGATAAACCATTTGCTTTATAGTAACATCATACACTTAATTGATTTCTTAAATGTCGTCTTCCTTCCACGGTATAATACCTGTGTTGTGAACTGACTGTGTCTATTCTTGAGTTTGTATTTGAATGTTTCTCTAGATGTAATCTATCCACCTAAACTAGTATTCGATATTCTTTGCAACCTGGTGGTGTAAACCTTTGATATTTTAAACGATTTTATTTATAAAAAACTCATAGTTTGAAATATATAATATTTACGACATCAGATTACAAAAAAATAGACAGCTAGAGTTTGAATAGAGTAATCATTAATTGGCTTGACTACAGAAAACTGTAGAAAACTGTAGAATATGAAGACGACATTAAAGCATTTGAAGTCGTTACAAAGCAAATACCAAAACTATGTATAGTACGCGTTCTTAAATTACTTATTAAGTGAAATGGGTCTGTTTAAAACTTGAATTTAAAAGTCGAATTCCTATTTCGTTTTCTGGTTATCACTGTAGGATAAAACTATTCCTTTTCAAAAAGAATAAGGAATTGAATCTTTGCTACAAACTCTGATTTTCCAATCACTTTATCTTTGGAACCAAATGTTGTGGACCTTAGATATTTCAAAATATGAATTCTGTTTGATCAAATAATCTAAATTTGAAATATCAAAGGTTTAATTTATCAGGTTCCAAAGATATAGAGGTTTGAATATTTAAAATTGCGGCAAAGACTCAATTCCTTTGTTTGCGAAAGTTTAATTTATCAGGTTCCAAAGATATAGAGGTTTGAATATTTAAAATTGCGGCAAAGACTCAATTCCTTTGTTTGCGAAAGTTTATTCCTTTAACACGGCCAAAAAAAAGTTAGAAAAAAGATGCACATTGTTAACATCAAAATACGTTTCCTGATCTAGACGGGAAGAGAGAGAAACAACTGAAAGATTTTCTGAAAAAGAGATAAAGATGATACAAATACTCCTTCTCAGAAACCTCACACAAATTAGGCTTATTAGGGATAAAAACAGCAAAACCAGAAGATTCAGTGAAAGCACATCAAGAATTATTATTTTCACTTTCATGCATTTCTTTTTGCTTTTTGTAAAAGTATTTCGATAAAAAGGAACTGAGTTATTGCCACAAATTCAAATAATCTTATCCCTATATCTTTGCAACAAACTGTGGTAGAGCTTTGATATTCAAAATATCCATCCTGTTAAATCAAATAATCTAAGTTGAAAATATCTAAGGTTTACACCACCAGGTTGCAAAGATATAGGGATTCAGAATTTGAGTTTGTGGCTCAATTCCTTTGAGGGAGTTTGCAGCTTTAGGTAATAATCCAATCCAAGTAGAATAAACTGTTAAAAGTCAAATAAGGTTTTTTAGAGAAGTTGTAGTAATGTTGAGTTGAAGTTCTGAAATCCGACTGAAAACTGGTAATTCCGTGAAAACTCTTAAAAATCCGTTGTAATTTTGTGTAAAAAGCCTATAAAGTATTTGCATTTTAGCAATCTTTACGTCTCCTATACGTAACCTATGTACAGTATGACCTCTATAAAATGTACGCAATATCTGGGATTTATAGGATCCATAATCCATATATATTCAAGGATAAATATATGAACGGAAAAGTAATATTAAGATACAAATACAATGTTTGTAACCGAAAAGATTATCAGAATATATTCATTTTGTCCATTCTTACCATGAAACACAAAACAAATGCACATTAAGAGAAATATTGTCAAGGGCGTATATAGGGGGGGGGGGCGAGGGGGCAGTGTCCCCCCCAGAACTCAGAGCTTTCACACTTTTTAAATCTTAGACTCAAGAGAGTGAAGAACATAAAAAAATAGTTTGCTGTTCATTCAGTGCACTAAGAAGATTGTATAGAGCCACCATTACAGAAACCGAATGAAAAATCTATTTAGAATCCTAATCGGATGGGCACTATCAGGGATAGCGAAGTAAAACAATTATTTCTAAATGCCAAGGCTTGAATTTGAAGGAAGTAAAAGACCATTTTTTTTTTTTTTAATAGGGATTTTATTTACTTTATTCATTGCACCGCCGTGTTGTGATCTTTCTTTTTATTACAAACTAGCTGAAGTGCCAGGCGTTGCCTGTGGAATTTTAAAAATCAAATTAAAACAAAAAAATTATAATTTGTTTAGCTTATGTCATCCCAAAGGCCGTTTGGTCAGCAATAGCAAACATATAAATGAACGAAGAGCTTTATTATATAGATTGCAATTGTACTCCTACTTTTTTTCCCCAAAACAGAATCTTTTACAAGTCATTATTATTTTCTGGACCTCTGTCCTTTTTTCATCTCAAAGAATTTATATTAAAGTTGAGTTTTTCATTTTCAAAAATGTCTTTTACTATCTATAATTTAAATACTAATTATTGCTAACATAACAGTATAATAAAAGTCGATTTTTTAGAAACGATGTTTTTTTCTGCTAGTTTTATTTGAAGGAGAGATAAAGTATAGTACATGCAAGGTAATTGGACTAGTGTATATGTACCTTTAAAGTATCTTATATGCCTGATATCCAAGAAGCCAAATGTTGAATTAACAGTTAACATTTTTCCCTAGATTTATTTCTGAATACGCCCTTGAGTATTGTGACAAAACCCAGGCACCCCCCTCCTGAACACCTTAAATACCCCACCGTGGGGGGGGGGGTAAACAGAAAACAACTTACGATACTTAGAAGCGACCACAATAAGAGCAACAGAGACGGAGAACAACCAGATGATAAGGATGGAACCAAGGATAACGGGACGGTTACAAGAGCACCCTTCTCCTCTATCCCGTCTATAGATAAACAGAAATATTAAGATCAGAGGATAAGGATGGAACCAAGAATAACAGGACGGTAACAAGAGCGCCCTTCTCCTCTATCCCGTCTATAAACAGAAATATTAAGATCAGAGGATAAGGATGGAACCAAGAATAACAGGACGGATACAAGAGCACCCTTCTCCTCTATCCCGTCTATAAACAGAAATATTAAGATCAGAGGATAAGGATGGAACCAAGTATAACAGAACGGTTACAAGAGCACCCTTCTCCTCTATCCCTTAAATTCTTAAATTCAAATTCCAACCAAAAGTTTTGACAGAAAACTACAAGTCATAGGATGAGGATTAAACGTATTAACATGATTACGATCATGTCATTTACCTAGTGACCACTCCAAGCATACAGTCCTTGACATCATCCAGCCCGTCTCCATAAACAATACTCGAACTCATTTTTTGCTTCTCTTTCTATATTTTTTTTCTGAAAAAGCTACGGTTATTAATCATTTATAGAAACTGGTCTTGCAGTGCGCTTAACATGTTTCTCTTTCTCTCGATCAGGGTTTTTCTCTGTAAGAGAGGGGGGGGGGCTACACCGACTACCTAGTACCGAGTGAAACGTTATAGTGAACTTGCGATGTGGGAGAATGATAAATAAAGATGAAGAAGATGTTCGCGGGTTTTTAAACCCTGACAAAATAAACTCCCCCGGTCTAAAATAAATCCTTATATGGTTATAAAATGAATGAATTATTGTGTAAACAGACAGCTACTAGTTCCACTCCTTGAGAATTATCTTGAGACAGGTTTAGAAATTTATTGTTGGACCTCCCCTGTACACACATTACAGCTTATTCAGCCACGCCCACATGAGTGTAGCCTCCAACCCCCAACCCCCACCCTCTTTAGAATTATTATCTGCTCTATATCACGCCCATAATTTGTATTATATTTTCTTTAAAACCACGTCAAACTAAAGAAAAATTTGTATGATCGTTTCATTATAACCACGTCAAACTAAAGTAGATTTCACGTAAGATTCAAATCTTGTTTTCAATCATAACTCCTTTAATTTGTTAATTGTAGATCTATTCAGAAAAGAAAAAAATGGTTGAAAATTTCTAATACAGTGATAGTATAAATACGCCGGAATAATGTTAATTGATTGAATAGTCGTCTTTGACCTTAGAGATAGTTAGCGGTATTCAACATTGGTAACCTCATTTTAGCAATATATTTTATAAAACAATTATTACCGAAAAGCCCTAGTCCTGCCATTTCCAAACTGTGGTCTGCCGTTTTAGTACTTTTAGTACAATTACCGGAGATATGAATGATTTTCATGATTTTCTTTAGTTAATTGAAATTTAAGCAAAACTCTTATATCTCTGGTAATTATGCGAGCAATAAAATGGCAGACCACATTTTGGAAATGGCAGGATTAGAGCTATGCTGTGATAATTGTGTCCTAAAAAAATATTGCTAAAATCAGGTTACCAATGCTGAATGCCACAAACTATGTTACAATGTCGTTCCTCTAATGTCGGATACATTGACCTTCTACCTCTGTCTAGTTCAATGCCACTGAAAAACCAGAATCAAGAAAGAAGGTGTACTAATCTGTTTACGTAATACTAAAATTCAAAAAACAAGATTTTCTTTAACCATATTTTTCTGAATTAAGTATTTAACGAAGAGAGTAAAAATTCACGGAAAAATTGGACATAGTCGATGTCTTCGGTTGCTAAATTTTGAATACTGAATGAGAGAAAGTAACTAACTTTTGAATACTGAATTAAAGATAGTCACTAAGTTTTTAATACTTAATTAAATATAGTCACTTACTTTTGAATACTGAATAAGAGATAGTCACAAACTTTTTTAATTCTGAAGCATTAGATAGCCACAAACTTTTGAATACTTAATTAAAGATAGTCACTAACTTTGGAATAATGAATAAAAGATAGTCACAAACTTTTTAAATCTGAAGTAGAGATAGTCACTAACTTTGAATACTTAATTAAAGATAGTCACTTACTTTTGAATAAGGAATAAGAGATAGTAACAAACTTTTTAAATCTGAAGAAGAGATAGTCACAAACTTTTTAATTCTGAATTAAAGATAGTCACTAAGTTTTTAATACTTAATTAAAGATAGTCACTTACTTTTGAATACTGAATAAGAGATAGTCACAAACTTTTTTAATTCTGAAGTATGAGATAGCCACACACTTTTGAATACTTAATTAAAGAAGGTCACTAACTTTGGAATAATGAATAAAAGATAGTCACAAACTTTTTAATTCTGAAGTAGAGATAGTCACTAACTTTGAATACTTAATTAAGGATAGTCACTTACTTTTGAATAATGAATAAGAGATAGTCACAAACTTTTTTAATCTGAAGAAGAGATAGCCACTAACTTTTGATTACTTAATTAAAGATAGTCACTAACTTTTGATTACTGCATTAAAGATAGTCACTAACTTTGACTACTGGATTATGTTTTTGGTCGCTAACTTTTAAGTTTGCATTTAACATATAACATATTCACATTCAACTTATTTTTAATACGTGCATTTAAACACTTTTAAGTAATAATTCTAAAGATTTTTTAAAAGAAAGATTCAGCTACTCACGAAAAAAATATATCAAAATTTGCTTTTTTATTTCCAAGAATTTTTTTTAATCATCTAGAATATATTTTACTTGGTTTGTTTTTAAACACTTTGCAAAGATTATTGAACTTTTAAATTTTACATTAGAAACTTCAAAATTGTTTGCAAAAAAACGAACCTGTATTTTCTGGATAAATTTTAATGAAAGCAAACTTTTACCGAATACAGATTTGAAATGTTAGAAGTTCACAGAATTTGAGTTGCGCCTATCAAAAACAACCCCAAATCGAACCAAGCAATGTCCCATCACTTGTTCTATGCACATTGTTCAGGGTTATCTACAAAGAATGATACTTCAGAGACGAAGGTTTGATTCAGTCTTTTTCTTACATTCATGGATCACTGTGTATTTACTCTTTCTGGGATCGCATTTAATGAATTTGATAGTAGTCGATGAACTATGTTCCACCGCCCGGTTCAAATCTTAAATCACGGATTCAAAGTAAAAAATTCAGGATGATTTGAATCGGGGATTTTGAATTTGAACTGGTTTGTAGGTAGTTCAGTGATCTCTTCAATTCGTCCCAGATTTCTTTACTAATCAAAATTGAATAGACCCGAAGAAAACTCCAATTAAAAAAGACGACCTAGTCTAGTAAAAGGACGATAGTATAGAGCAGATACAGGTTAAAAGGATACCTACAGTGAAACCCTTAATAACGAATACATCGAAAGAATTCATCAAATGTCGTATTCTTCACTTTCTGATAATGGAATGTTGCAGATATTTAATTTTTTAATTAAATGATTATATGGAACTCTGTAAAACTGTTCCCGTATATTCATGGCTATTTATTCATTTTCGCAAATACTGAAATTTACGTAATATAGTATAAAACTCATTGAAAAATTGTCAAGACGACATTTGATAAATTCTTCCGATGTATTCGTTATCAAGGGTTTCACTGTATGAGAATAAGTATATTCCCCACTTTAAAGGAAGAGTAACAGAAAACTAGAATGATAGTTTCTTTAATACAACCCTGATTATTTCACTGTAATCAGGAAAAATGTTTCAAATCACGCAATTAACTGAAATTACAAATATTTTAAGACTGATTTTAATTTTTAAATGATTTGGTAAAACTAGGTTTAATCTAGCATATTCTTTAGCAGAGTTAGATTTAGATCTAACAGAAGGTTAAGGTTTAGAACTATCATAAGGATTAGGTTTATTTTTACCATAAGATATAGTTTTAGGTTTATAATCAACAAACCGTTTAGGTTTAGAAAAAGAATCAAATTTACCACATGATTTTTTATTTTGATTCTGGATCAAAGTTGGATAATTTTAGATTTGAGTTTTAAGTAAGGTTGAGGTTGATGATTTCTACAGGTGTGTGTATACACTGAGAGTACTAATGACCGACTGTGGTTTGAACTCCTCCCACTCATCCTATTCTCAAATACGCCTAAAGATATCATTTATTCAGAGAACCTATTCGCTTCAAGTATTGATAAATTTTCAGTTTATTCTCTACGAGCTGAAGTGCTCGCCACGGTCCGTGAAATCTTAAAAATCGTCAGAAAACATCTCTTACGTCAAAACGGTTAATCTAAGAGATATTAGTTATTTTGAAGCAATTTATTACAACGGTTTGACAGACTTTAGATACTCGATATATATAATTATAAAATATAAATATATAACAACTATTGGGGTCTTCTTTATAAAAGTTTGTACTGAAGTGATGTGATTAAAGGAAGGAAGTATAAGGGTATAAGGGTATCCGATGAAATTAAAGTATTCTTGGATGAAGTATTGAAGGTCTCCGATGAAACTAAAGTATTCTCGGATGAAGTATTGAAGGTATCCGATGAAACTAAAGTATTCTCCAATGAAGTATTGAAGGTCTCCGATGAAATTAAAGTATTCTTGGATGAAGTATTGAAGGTATCCGATGAAATAAGATATTCTCGAATGAAGTATTGAAGGTCTCCGATGAAATAAGATATTCTCGGATGAAGTATTGAAGGTATCCGATGAAACTAATGTATTCTCGGATGAAGTATTGAAGGTATCCGATGAAATTAAGGTATTTTTGGATGAAGTATTGAGGGTATCCGATGAAATTAAAGTTTTCTCGGATGAAGTATTGAAGGTCTTCGATGAAATTAAGGTATTTTTGGATGAAATATTGAAGGTCTCCGATGAAATTAAGGTATTTTTGGATGAAGTATTGAAGGTATCCGATGAAACTGAAGTATTCTCGGATGAAGTATTGAAGGTATCCGATGAAATTAAGGTATTCTCAGATGAGGTATTAAAAGAGTCGCAACCTCTTGGCATTTGGTTTTACGTTGAAAACTCACTTTTACTTTTATACTCCTAGACATATAAAGTTTACTCCTAGACATAAAGTTTAGATCTGTTTAGTTTGTTCACGAAGAGTAATTTGAAAAATGCGGATAGGTTAATGCGTGAGTGCATGTACACTGTACAGTGTAGACTTTATATTTCTATGTATGGCACTCCAATGGTACTCTGATGACACTCCTATTGTTCTCCGATGGTTTTCTTATGGTTCCCGATGGTACTACTCCCAGAATTCTAGAATTTTACCTTACATTTAATGAAGACTTAAAATTCCATGCACTACATTTTATATCATTTATCCGTAAATACATTACTTGGTACCAGGGGAAAATGTCAATACTAAAACAACAGAAGAAAACTTTATAACCTGCATTAAATGCACTTTTTTACGAGGGGCCGATAGTTGCAGTTTACAGATTGGTCACATGAATTGCACATGCAACCTTGTTTTTTTTGCAGTTTTTGCAGTTGTAATAATAAAG